CCGGCACACACAAAAAAAGGGGGGAAAATAGATACATTGGTATGCCCCGACACTTTTGGCATGGGTGACCGACCCGGTCTTGCCACATCTATGAAGTTGTTAAGAAAGAAGCATTTTAAGTAGGAGGCACATAATATTCGCAATAATATTTTAAGGTTCAGAAGTTTGTAAGGCCTTCTATCAGGAACAAACAAAGAATATGGCATTGCTTGAAAGTTGTTAAGTTGTTCACTCATGTGTGAATATGTTTCAGTCTATCTTTCAATGACGATTTCGAGAAGGACTGATCCTCCTTTTGACGATGATACTTGTTCATGTATATATGCAAGAGAGACGATAATCACCCTATTATCTACCTCTTGTATGTACGGCCGGCCGGCCCATTCCTTTTTTTTCTTCCAATTTTTTTTCAAATTTATGACGATTTTTTGTTTTTTTTCTCTTTACAGAAAAAAAATTCATTACATGTCTTATATAAACCTCTTTGACATCTAAACAAGGACATACACTAAGGGTCAAGTAATGATCAGAGTCTCCTTAGCAATGAGTCGGAAGGTCTCGAAAAAATTATTGATCAGAGATGGGCATATTTCAGAGAAGTTGGGCCGCTTTGATATCATACTCCTTTAAAGCGATGGATCAAAACGTGTTCAGATCATCATACTTTAAAGGTGTTTAATTTTTTTTTTTTTTTTTTTTTTTTTTTTTCTTTCGGTGAAAAACGTGGGGGTGAATAGAGTATCATGAAAGAGGAAATTGGGCCGTTTTGATATCATTTCCTTTTAAATGATGAATCCAACCGATACTGCCATCATATTTTTGGGTGCCTGATTTTTTTTTTTTTTTTGTAATTAGTGACATTTTTTGGATTGGGCCGAAATTTTGTACCAAAATCATATTTTTGTTTTTTAACAAAATTACGGAGATCAGTGTGGAACAGGCTGCTATCGGGCGCAGCTGCAAGACTCTGGCCGGAGGCCCATGTACGGACCCTGTCACGTCAATTTTGAAACAACATGACTCCAAAACTAATCATTTCCGCAACATGTTCTTTAGCTCATTTTAAAGAGAAAAACAAGGGCTATCTTTTGCACATACATTAATATCACTTCGTGCTACTTTTCATGTCGAAAAATTGAAAAATTCACAATTAAAGTTTTTCAAAAAATTCGACGAGCCACAGCATTGTCATAAACAAATTATTTTTCTGTCAAACGAACTCCCACGATAACCGGTGCCTGGTATTTTTCTTGGTTATTCAGGTCGGGCAAGGATGGGGGCTACGGGAATGGAGAGGGAATCAACCGAAGGAAATCTGAATCTCATCGCATTGAAGGCCCCTTGGTTCCCCTTGGGAAGTGAAAGAGCTGTCCTGAATTTGCCAGTATGGGTTCTTCGCCGAAATTTTTATATCCAATATAGTCAGAACTGCCCTTATCCATTCTGAGGAGAACAGGGAGAAAGAAACCTTCAGGTCAATGAACTTTATTTTTTCTGGGATTTCTTGGAGATAGGTGCTGTCATTCCATCTTTATAGATTGCAATGGGCTGCTAGTACCAAAATAAAACGAAGTACCTCTCTGTAATTTTCTCCCTCCAGGTTAGCCCCTAATTGACCTTATTCTTTACGTTCTCACAGGTATCTGCTCTGTTGGGTCGTATTCCTTCTGCTGTCGGTTATCAACCAACCTTGGCCACCGATATGGGTACTATGCAGGAACGAATTACCACAACTAAAAAGGGATCTATCACATCAGTACAGGTATGTATCCTCAAATCTCTATAAATATGGTCCCATTTCATTCTAAGTACAGTACTCTCTCTGTAGCGGACCTCAAGGGACCGGAAGGTTCATGTGGTACAGAGAGGGATCTGGTAGACAGAGGGCTAGAGGAAAAGAACTCAGAGACTAAATTTTTCAAAAAGAAAAGTTCAACGGAGAAACTTACGCGTTAAAGATGAGTAGAAGTGAGTTATTTTCGTCTGCTTGTTTGTGAGTTTTAAATGAAGATCCTTTATCTTGCTTTCCATCGCTGAAATTTGTCCGTGGAAGGATTCTGTAACTTCGTGGCATCAAAAGAATGTGTTTAATAGGCGGGCAGCTTCTAGGGATTGTTTGCGTGTTGGGGGAATAATTTCGGAATCTTCATCCTCGTTTTTGTCCTCATTATCTTTGTCATTGTCTTGGTTTTTCGATGTTCGCGATGATTTCATCATCATTAAGCTCAGCAGAGGTAGGAATGTCTGAGTCAATGTTCATGTATTCTTCAAAATCGACACTTGCGAGCCTTTCAGGAATGTTAAATTGTTTTATCCATTCACTAAATGGAATATCGTCATCTGCGTCATCATCTGTCGCGGGTAACTTATCTGAAGGAAAACCAACATGTCGGAATTTATTGGCTATTGTTTTGGGAGTTACATTGTCCCATGCCTCTTTTAACAAACAAACAGCGTCAAACAAATTGACCTGAGGCACTTTATCGTTGTCTATGGCTGATAAGCCGTCAGCGCATAATACACTGCACTTTGACCTCCGTCGGGCGTCCGGTACGAAGAGGGTCACTACGTTGCCACATCTGTTAAGTAGAGGGAAAAATACATGTATTTAGTATAGGAACGTCAAGACCTTTGGATACATCCATTACAGAGAGTTTTCCGTTACATAGAGTGCCGCTACAGAGAGAGAGTACTATAGTTCAGCATGACTCTGGGTGGTCCAGATGGCAAACTGTTGTAAGACTTGTGTAGAGATCATAGAATTCATTTGAAGATGAATTTTAGGATTTTTAGTGCCACTGAAAATGAGGGAAACTTGTAAAAGTTGCATAATTCGAAAAATCAGGGAAAGTCATGGCATGGTTTGCAGCGGCGTGGCGTGGCGTGCTTTGTGATATATTGATTGATTTGCCATTTGAATTTATGAAAAAAGTTTGATTATCAAGGTGTTGGCTGCGAACACCTTAATAACCGATCCTTTACTGCAGCTTCAAATGGAGAGATATCGATAATCGATCATTCTTGCCAAGCCACTGATGATTTGGTCAAAAGTTCAGAAGTTCTAACAATCAAAATAAGCGCTTTCTAGGTAGTATCAACCAAGCATCAACACAGCTGCATTAATTTACCCCAAAACTGTGTGAAACCATATTTTACACATTTTTATGAAAATCAAAGCTTTCATCATAAAGGATGCACTTAAAATTATTTTAATTTGCCAAAGCTGTGTCTTTGAATTATTGTGCCCCATATTTCATCATAGTTATGTTTTAAGCACTACATCATTACACATATGTTCTGATGTTTGAACTGTCAACAATACACCTGCCACAATATATAGTACATCGTGTCACCAGGTATACACCACCCAAGTGCAATCTATGAATCGGGCAATCGAGCACATTCTGCTTGTCTGTGATAACCCAGGATGAGTTGATATGAAACAACCCTGAAAATTCGTGAAGTATAGACATTTTCGTAGCCTGGCACTCGTCTGTAAATCTTGAAAGACGAATTGGCAGTGAAATGTCGAAAGTTCAGAATGTAGTCATATTATTTAAAGCTGCTACATCAATGATATTAACCTTAATTTTTCAGGCCATATATGTGCCTGCCGATGATTTGACTGACCCTGCCCCTGCCACCACCTTCGCTCATTTGGATGCTACCACTGTGTTGTCCCGAGCCATCGCTGAGCTGGGCATCTACCCTGCTGTAGATCCCCTTGACTCAACCTCTCGTATCATGGACCCTAACATTATTGGAGCAGAGCATTATAATGTAGCTCGAGGTGTCCAAAAGATCCTTCAGGTACCAAATGTTCCAAGAATTCATTTTCTTCAAGTTGCTTTAATGATAAGTACATATCAATGGGGAAATTACCAAAAATCTCGATTTTTGACTGTACTGAGTTAGCTGCATCAATGAACCGTTGGGGATGACCTTTGCCTATCATGAAAATATTTTACTCGATAAATCCTGAACGTAAACTAGAAAAGTAATTTAGTTACACTGTATCTCTATGCTAATTTCCAGAATGTTCAATTTGTTTTGTGTAAATCTGAAGACTGAATAGGAAACCAGTGTTCAAACGGTGATCAAAGAAAGTGTAGAGTCATCTATAATTGCCTTTACCCAAAGATTTTGAATCACGTAGACCGTGCATCCTGTGTTACGGAAGGCAAGACAACTTTTGAAAATTCGCATGCCGATGGGGGTTGGCACCATCCTGCAGCGATGTGTTTGTGTGTCCCAGTTGCGCACATCTGTGCATGCGCAGTAGCGGCTCCAGTGAATTTTTGTCGGATTGTGATGCTTTTCTTCTCAGTTAATAATAAGTTTGAAAAAATGATACATTGCTAATCGGTTGTAACATAATATGTTCCAAAACTTTTCTTCCTAAGAATTTTGTCTGAAAATGGACTCTAAACGAAATATGCGTGTAAAACCTAGCGCGATAATGAATTCTCCCTTGCCTCTCTGCAGTCTCTTCGAGAGTTTGGGACATTTGCTCTCTCCCCTTTCCTGCCCGCCCATCATGGGGCTCTGGGAGACTTGCCTCGCTCCACCTGTACGAACGGAGCTGGACGCTCGGTTTACGTGATTCAACGTCTCTGTCTTTACCACAATTGAGGCGCTGCATATGCAGGTGAATGTTCCATGAGCAATTCATCGGAATTAAGAGCCCAATATTGCAAGTAGAGATTTTGTTGTATTAATAGAGGCCTCACTGCTTGTCGGTGAAGTTATACATGCTGCTCTTCCGGACTCTTTGTTTGGTCTTCATTTGATTGCATTAGGTGATAATCACTTAATGGGCAATGCGAAATCCCTGCTTTCCAGGAAAAGCTGTCAGAACTTATTTGCAAAACACGTATCATGGTTTCTCCCTCATAATTCCCACCAATGAAAGTTATTTTCATAAATACCTGCTAAGGATGCTCTTTTTTTCTATCTCTAAGAGTACCTTACTTTTCTTTCCTCAAAATTTAGAATCATAGCCTGTATCTTAACAAGGTAAATTCAATTGCATTTAAGTTTTAAATGTTATTTTGAATCACCATCATTCCTACCAAGTCAGTCGAGTCCCACTCTTGACTGTCGGACAAAGTGAACTTAGGGCAAACCTTTTCTGTTTGTTATACAACTTAGAAATCGCTGAATGTTGTTTTGTTTTAATCAATTGAGTTAGTTCAATAATGGATAGTTTTAGTACTACATCAATCTTGCAATATTTGACTCATCAATAGAGAATTTGCAGGTGTCTGAAACAGTGATCCGATGTCTAGGGATTTATCCCTAGATCTAGGGATTTTCCGGAATTTATAGGGATTTAGGGATTTTTCAGGAAATCTAGGGATTTGTTTTGATGAGGTAAAGTACGCAAAAATCGACTTTTTAACCTCAATTTTAGCTTCGACAATCGAAAATTTTTTTTCATCTATATTTTGTAGGCCTTTTTGGCAACACTATTTTCCCCGTAAATAAGCCGAAAATTAAAACGATTGCTTCACTCGATGTACTTGACATTCAACTGCATTCAACAGTAAAAAAACAATAAGGAGAACTCAACTAATATTCTTTAATTTTATTGATCTGGATTAGCCCTGCTTTCAGAGAGCGGCAAAATTCAAACGAGCCAATCAGATTTAAATATTGCAAATCGATACATCGAATGACGTCATGATTCTACGTCAAAGATGGCGGTTTTTTGCCAAATCTAGGGATTTTTGGGGGATATTTGAGCAAATCTGGGGATTTAGGGATTTTTAGCGAAATCTAGGGATTTTTTTTCTTCCCCGCTAGGGATTTAATATCGGAACACTGGTCTGAAAGGGTATCCCGGGATAAGCATGTCAAAATGCCCTTGTGAACGGATTTTTATTTTAACCATTTTAAGTCATCAAGGGTGTCCTAAAACTTAGGTTTTGGGGAATTTTAGCCCCTCAACCTCCTCCGCCCCCCCTCAGACCCCAAAAAACCGCTTTTTGGGGCTATTTTTGACTATGCTACCGTCTTTTCCTCATAACTTTCGTAATTTTCAATAGAATTGAACCAAAATTTGTCAGAATCTACATCAATTAGCTTAGTTTTTGTAGAAAAAAATTCATTATCATCGGAAAATGTTAATAATATTTAGGATTATATTTAATAATAATTTAGCTTAATAAATTAATATTTTAGCTAAAATATAGAATAATATTTTAGCTTCTAAAATAATTCGTAAAATTTTAAAAAAAATCATTTTTCTCCTTTTTTCGCGCTAGGTGACGTATGGAAACGAGGACACAAACAAAAATTGCCTCTTTTCTTAAGTTATACATCCAATAAGATACAGAAAAAATTTCGTGTTGATCGGAGTGGTGCGCCATACTTAAAAACGCAATTTTCTAACCTCAAAACGGCCAAAATGCCACCATAGCCTCCTTTGATGACTAGGCGTGGAGAAATATGTAGAGAGGAACATCCGGTTTTATCGTCTCACCTCTTAAGTGATCCACTTAAGTACCTTGAGCCAAAATTTCGAGTTGATCAGAATGGTGCGCAACACCCAAGCACGCAATTTTCTAACCTCAAATCGGTCAAATTGCCCATTTCGGCACCCATTATCACTCCGTGTCAAAAAATAAGGAGAGGGACATCCGGTTTTATCATCTCACCTCTTAAATGATCCACTTAAGTACCTTGAGCCAAAATTTCGAGTTGATCAGAGTGGTGCGCAACACCCAAGCACGCAATTTTGTAACCTCAAAACGGCCAAATTGCCCATTTCGGCTGATTTCGGCACCCATTAGCACTTCGTGTCAAAAAATAAGAAGAGGGACATTTGATTTTATTGTCCTACTTCATAAATTAAACACTTAAGTACATTTAGTCAAAATTTCGTGTGGATCAGAGTGGTGCGCAATACCCGAACACGCCGTTTTCTTGTTAATTTAGTTACTAGAATTTGCCAGTACCTACTCAGTGCACTACTACGTATTATTGAAGTTTGGAGGAGGGAATGCTTCTACGTGGGGGATGAGCGAGCCTCGACCCTACTGTCATATGATTCCTGGGAGTTCAGAGGTTTCGCTGAGTGATCGGGTTTGCTACGCGGTAGGGTGCCAAAATGAACTTTGAAATGTGCATCATGCACTTTTCAAGCGGGCTCGTCGCTGACATACAGTGATAATGAATGCCAAAATGGGAATTTTGGGAGGTTTCAGGTTAGAAAACGGCGTGTTTCGGTGTCGCGCACCACTCTGATTGACACTAAATTTCGACTAAATTGGGACTCAAATCGGGAGGCTCGCACAACTCCCACGTAGAAGCGTTCCCTCCTCCAAACTTCAATCATACGTAGTAGTGCACTGAGTAGGTACTGGCAAATTCTAGTAACTAAATTAACAAGAAAACGGCGTGTTCGGGTGTTGCGCACTACTCTGATCGACACGAAATTTTGACCAAATGTACTTAAGTGTCTAATTTATGAGGTAGGACAATTATATCGGATGACCCTCCTCTTATTTTTTGACACGGAGTGATAATGGGTGCCGAAATCAGCCGAAATGGGCAATTTGGCCGTTTTGAGGTTACAAAATTGCGTGCTTGGGTGTTGCGCACCATTCTGATCAACTCGAAATTTTGGCTCAAGGTACTTAAGTGGATCACTTAAGAGGTGAGACGATAAAACCGGATGTTCCTCTCTACATATTTCTCCACGCCTAGTCATCAAAGGAGGCTATGGTGGCATTTTGGCCGTTTTGAGGTTAGAAAATTGCGTTTTTAAGTATGGCGCACCACTCCGATCAACACGAAATTTTTTCTGTATCTTATTGGATGTATAACTTAAGAAAAGAGGCAATTTTTGTTTGTGTCCTCGTTTTCATACGTCACATAGCGCGAAAAAAGGAGAAAAATGATTTTTTTTTAAAATTTTACGAATTTTTTTAGAAGCTAAACTATTATCCGATGATAATGAATTTTTTTCTACAAAAACTAAGCTAATTGATGTAGATTCTGACAAATTTTGGTTCAATTCTATCGAAAATTACGAAAGTTATGAGGAAAAGACGGTAGCATAGTCAAAAATAGCCCCAAAAAGCGGTTTTTTGGGGTCTGAGGGGGGCGGAGGGGGTTGAGGGGCTAAAATTCCCCAAAACCTAAGTTTTAGGACACCCTTGATGACTTAAAATGGTTAAAATAAAAATCCGTTCACAAGGGCATTTTGACATGCTTATCCCGGGATACCCTTTGATGAATTTCGTGTTTAAGTGAAAACCACTGAGTGAAGTGAACAAGAGGATACCCTTTATTCGTAAATTGAACAATTATTGGAGAAGATATAACAAAATGATCCAATCTACCAAAATACGTGTGTTTAAATGGGAAGTGCCGCCAGATGACGTCTTTAGGCGGTGCATTTTCTCACTTTTAAATCTATTTTTGAAGAGTGGCGGTAGCCACCTATGGTCGAGGAAAATGATGTCCTCCTGAAGTCCCAATAGCTAAGTGGTGGCCGACACTCCTGGTCACACACAACTCTCTCAGTCCGAAAATTGAGTCAATTTAGAATGGAATTCAGAGCAAACTGCGGCACGGCTTCCAACGATCTTGGTGTCTATGGACGCAGCTAAGTTAGCCAGATGGCGTATAAGGGTTTCATCAAGATCCATTGAGTTTTCTCAAAGTCATAAGCAGTTAAAGACCCAAAAAAACGAAAATTTTGCTGTTCAAGAGGCCGTTTGGCGGGCAATTTGAATTTCAGGGTCCTGAGAAACATTGATACTCTGATTCCGCGTGTTCGGGCAGAGGCCCAAAATAATATAAAAATGAGGAAAGGAAAAATGCTAAATAATTTTGAGGAGTGGACTGTATGTGTTTTTACTTTATGAAAGGCTACCAGGCCGTGTGGGGCCAGCTACATAACAAGTCTGGATTCCCTAATCGAATGTCTTGACGAAACAATTTGGAATACTATGCTGCTCGGAGCCGGCTTCAGAGATAATCTGGGGTTTTAAGGAAACGAGAAAGCAAGAATGTTGATTATTAAAAGACGACAAAAAGAAACTCACGAGGAAAATATAAACTAATTTAGAAGTGAATGTACAGAGAAATTATCACTTACTTTGATAAAGAGAAAGACCGAAGATATAAGAACTGTGAACTGATGAAAATCTCTAGCTGGAAGAGCTTTACAAGTATTACCTATACTTAATTGTTATTGCCTAAAGAGCTTTCTTATTGCGTACCGCGGAGCTAAAGTCGCTACTGGGATTCCAGTTGGAAATGGGTAATCTCTACTGGATACCAGCAGGAAACCTAACCGACGAAATTACAAAATAGATGGAAGAGAAACCTGGAAGGAGCGCTACTGGATTCCAATAGGAAGATATTACATCACTGGGTACCAGTGAGATGGCGAAAGAGAAGCCAAGATAAACACTGCTGGATTTCCAGTGGGAAAAAGATCGACGAACGATGGCAAATATTCAGTGGAGTACTCGGGGTACCCACGGAACCTGAAAAAAAGTTTAACGTAGGACTTGATATTGAATCTTGGAATTTTCATAGTACATACATGTGCGTGGGTAACACTCAATAACCACAATTCACTCACTTTTTGAAAGTATGTCAGCCATTAAACCAGTCTATTATCTCTGTATGGAAAATGACAAACGATGAAAAAGTGTCAGCGTGCTGTTCTAATTGTGAACGCAAATGTTTTTACAATTTTTAGTAAAATCGGGCCTCTGTGACTTTTCTCACTTTGTCTCAAAATGCCATGTGGCAGTGTAGGAGATATTTTAACGCTGCCCTGGAGGAAGTCCTCTTTTCTCGAATCAGATTCTAAATAGTGTTACTCTTCTCTTCCACAGGACTACAAATCACTCCAAGATATCATCGCCATCTTGGGTATGGATGAACTGTCAGAAGAAGATAAATTAACTGTTGCCCGAGCTAGGAAGATCCAGAGGTTCTTGTCCCAGCCTTTCCAAGTTGCTGAAGTTTTCACTGGTCACCCTGGAAAACTTGTCCCTCTTGAAGAAACTGTCAAGGTTAGTCATGAGTTTTCGTACAAGACGTAATGAATTAGTGGATAGTATCCCGAATTGAGGAGCTCTTTTGAATAACCACATTTAACGAAAATGATAGTTGTGAGAAAACCGCAAAGGAACGAAACTCGATGAAATCGTAAATTTTTAAAATCGAATTGAAAGACATACTCTCCTCGATCAATGGGCTTACAGAACATTATTCTAAAGCCACCTGGCAACTTACGGGAAATATAGGAAAATTCACCTAGTAGGTAGATCAACAGCCAAAAAAGGGTGATGAAGTTTGCCTTCTTATAATTGTCCATAAAGAAATGTCGAATCCCCGAAAGTATGAGCTTCTGCCTGTAGCCAAGAGGCTAGTGGAGGGTCTCCTGTCTCTGATTGCCTCACATAGTTGCCAAACCCAGCAGACAGAGTTAGAGTTTAGAGAGCTCTACTGCTCCGCCTCGACAAGTAAGGGGAATTAGATGAACCTAGTAATGGGGCATTGCAGAACTTCACCCAAGTTTGCGGAATTTTGCCAAAATAAGTTGGCGAAACTTTGCCGGAACAAGTTTTGGGTGTGCTTCATAATTCAAGTCAGCGTTACCGTCAGGCACAGTGCACCTTAGACAATCCCTAGGTCCATCCAAAATTTCTTCTATGCACGCGCCTGCATAGTGCATGTAATAAAGTTCAATTTGTGCACACTAATGTTCAGAGGCCCATAAAGGTTGAAAGTTGCAAGTACCAAAGTGCTAAATTAACTTTAGAGATGAAGACTTAAATATATCTAGTACCGCCGACCCCCCCCCTCCCCCCGAAAACTTGTGAATCAATACTGGTTCCCCCCTACACAGCTCCGTTTAAAGAAAATTATTCAGGATGTCCCAAAAGTCCCTTCCATCTCCTCTAAAATTTTACGTAGTTAATATTTTTCAAAGAACTTTTGGGAATGTTCATCGATCAATGTTAGCTACTTTTGGGGCCCCCCAAAATTTTCAGGCCTCCCTGGCGGGAGGGGCTGTGGACCCCAACTTCTTATTTCAGATGGCAATGTAGGTAGAAGCTCTTACTTTGGGGATTCAAAATTTCTTTATGGACAATTATAAGGAGGCAACCTTCATCACCTTTTTTTTGGCTGTTGATCTACTCACCATGTGGATGATGAGCTGCAGGTGATTTCATGTGCCGAACAAGTTTCTTAAGCCGACTGCACACACAGCAAATGGTGACCTGTAGGCTGCGCAGTTTGCACAATCACCAATGTAACTGATGAGCCACTTGCAGGTCCCCATTTGCTGTGTGTGCAGTCTGCTTATAACTTCGGTTTGTTTGCAATACGAAACCCCCAACACGGTATTAACCATTGACCAAGTAGGTAGGTCAACTGTTAGTTTACCTATTAATTTAGTTTCTGCATGTATTTACGCAATATATGAAGTTTTTACGAGAAAAATCAGGAAAATATCTGGATTTTTCAAAATCGAAAAATATTAGACACTCTGTTGGAACTGAGCATACAGTTTTAATGTAGTTTTTTTTTTTTTAGCCTTATTTTTTTAAATTCTGTATTTATTTTAGCAGTTGATAATGGCTTGGGTCGCCAGCCAAAACGTCCTGCAAATGTTTTTATAAATTTTAGCCTTGCTTCCCGCTGTTCTAAGTTCTATATATGAGGATTTATATGTAACAATAGCGTTGTCGAGATTTACATTGTGAGAAAATCGCGTTCGAAGTTTTCGAAGCTCCACACTTTGCCACCCGTAAAACTGAGAGGACTTTTGTAAAGATATTTATGAAGAGCAACTCTTCCTGTAAAAAACACGTGTTTTATGATTTATGTAAGTGAAAAATTGAAGGAGGAACAGCGATTTGTAAAGAATGAGCCATCTGCTATTTTTACTGAGAGAACTTTTTTATGCATGAAACAAAGTCTTCAGGAAGGGTAAGGCTGGTGAAATGATTGAAATGAACCAAAAGTGAATCAATGCTGAATCATTCAATAAAATTAAACGAAAAACTAAGGCGTGTGTAACTTATAAAACAAAAATCAGGAACAAATTATAAAATTAGTTAAAAAATCAACAATTCTGGCATGATGGTCCTGATACGTATCATTTGAGTGTGAGGTGCAGCCCATGGCCGGTGAGTGGGCAGTTATCGCAAGTGCGTTCAAATCTCGATGGTGTCCTGCCACGCCAGCCGTGGTAAACAGTCGATTTTTATATCCGCTGCTTTTACAAATAACATTTTTCTCAGTTTAAATCTCGCCGAAAAATTGAGCTGGAAGTCTGAAACTTTGCACAGGCATTTTTGAGGGCACCAGAATTTGGAAGAAGTGTTGTCCCTAAAAATGGCGGATGTCAGCGACCTCTATTGTTACATATCAGTCCATATACAGGGTGATCCAAAAGTCCCTTCCACCCCCTCTAACTTTTTACCTAATTGAGGTACAGATTTGAAACTTGGGGGATATTCCTAGGTAAAAGGGAGCTACTTTTTGGCCCCCCTAAAATTTTCAGGGGGGACCCCCTTGGGGGGGCAACGGCCCCCAACTTTTAATTTTCAAATGGGAAGACCCCCTTTGTGATAGCTCGTTCGAAAGAGCATAAAAAAAGAAAACTTTTCGCGCAAACCCGAAGTCAATATCTTAAACCGTTTCAAAATGGCGGCCGGCTAAAGTTCAAAATGACCGAAAATTCACACCGGTTATTTGTCGATGGATTTGCGCGAAAATCGGTATGTAGGGGTATTTTGACATGAGAAAAACGAATTTGACGTTAGATTTTCAAAAAAACCGAAATTTCCAAAATGGCCGCCGGTTAAAGTTCAAAATGACCAAAAACTGATTTTTTTAGAAATCTAAGTTCAAATTTGTTTATCTTATGCCAAAATACTCTCAAATTCCAAGTTTTAGGCAAATCCATCAGCAAAAAAACGAGGTGACAATTTTTGGCCATTTTAAACTTTAACCGGCGGCCATTTTGGAAATTTCGGTTTTTTTTTATAATCTAACGTCAAATTCGTTTTTCCCGTGTCAAAATACCCCTACATACCGATTTTCGCGCAAATCCATCGACAAATAACCGGTGTGAATTTTCGGCCATTTTGAACTTTAACCGGCCGCCATTTTAAAACGGTTTGAGATATTGACTTCGGGTTTGCGCGAAAAGTTTTTTTTTTTTATGCTCTTTCGAACGAGCTATCACAAAGGGGGTCTTCCCATTTGAAAATTAAAAGTTGGGGGCCGTTGCCCCCCTGAAAATTTTAGGGGGGCCAAAAAGTAGCTCCCTTTTACCTCGGAATATCCCCCAAGTTTCAAATCTGTACCTCAATTAGGTAAAAAGTTAGAGGGGGTGGAAGGGACTTTTGGATCACCCTGTATGTATATATCCTCAGACTTTCCACCTGCATGCAGTGCTGGAGACCCATACACATCCCCCAAATCGTGAGAATCAAATGTGTGATATTGCCAGTTTAGCGGCAAATAAAAACTCAGAACTTGAGAGCCTATTTGTGAAAGTGGCAATGCAATGAGGGTCCAACAATTTGGTGTGTCTAAACTTTTAGGTATCTAGGATGAAGATCTAGCCGGGTGTCTGCAGGTCTGGAAAACCGGGAATAGTCAGGGAATTTGATCACCGTCTGGAAAACCGGGAAAAGTCAGGGAATTCGATCGAAAACCGGTGAAAGTCAGGGAATTTCCGCAATTCGAACATTTCGCGGCTATTTTTGCTCGTCGCTGCCGAATTGGCCGAGTAGCGCGCTCGCGTGGCTGATAATGTAAACTGCTCTGTCCAACCAGTTCGCAACACGGCCGCTAGGTTCGCTAATGTGTGTTTTGAGTGACTGACAAGGGGAGCTTCCCAAGTGTAACCGGAATTTCGAGTTGAAATTTCGCATGAAGATACTAGAGATGCTTTAAAGGATGCCGTATTTTTTCGTTTTTTCGAATGGGGTCGGGAAAGCCCTCAAAAAAAGGGCTAAAGATGCGGAAAAAACGCGTGCGCTAGCGGCACAAGGTAAACGTAGGTGATAGAGGCTCTGCATAATCAGTACCGCATGGCCAAACGGTAGCGCGCTCGCCTCGCAGGCGGGAGGTTCGAGGATCGGTTCCTGATTACCGCTTGTAATTTTATTTTACTTTATGCTTGTTTATTTTTCACTTACTTTATTTTGCACCATTCGCTCCGCAAACCGACTTACGAGGTAGAACACGTAGTGACTGAAGATTTTTTACATATGCTGATAAAAACTCGAAGTTTCTCTTGGATTGAAACGTTATATATAATTGAATGAACAAAACACTCTAAAACTCACCACATTTCGTTGCCAAACTGACTTTCCGGAGTATCAGTCAGATACAGATACAGATTCGACTGATACTCCGGAAAGTCAGTTTGGCAACGAAATGTGGTGAGTTTTAGAGTGTTTTGTTCATTCAATTATATATAACGTTTCAATCCAAGAGAAACTTCGAGTTTTTATCAGCATATGTAAAAAATCTTCAGTCACTACGTGTTCTACCTCGTAAGTCGGTTTGCGGAGCGAATGGTGCAAAATAAAGTAAGTGAAAAATAAACAAGCATAAAGTAAAATAAAATTACAAGCGGTAATCAGGAACCGATCCTCGAACCTCCCGCCTGCGAGGCGAGCGCGCTACCGTTTGGCCATGCGGTACTGATTATGCAGAGCCTCTATCACCTACGTTTACCTTGTGCCGCTAGCGCACGCGTTTTTTCCGCATCTTTAGCCCTTTTTTTGAGGGCTTTCCCGACCCCATTCGAAAAAACGAAAAAATACGGCATCCTTTAAAGCATCTCTAGTATCTTCATGCGAAATTTCAACTCGAAATTCCGGTTACACTTGGGAAGCTCCCCTTGTGAGTTGAATTCATTCTTCCAAATCAGCTTTAAAGATCAAATCGATCTGCCCTATTTAATTTATCTACTCAATTCATGCCAAATGGCAAGATAGACTAAATAGACTTGAATGAAGTTAATTTGCTAACTGCAGAAAATTACAGTAAATAATGATAGGAAACTAATTTCAACATACATAACAAAGGGTTTCAAAGGTGAGTGCCCCAGTTTTGAGCAGATGGTTAATCAATTTTTTCAATAAGTTAGGAAATTTAATGAAAGTGCTGGAATTTTAGTTTTTCTTTAACTGAGTAAACAAATATTTAATGTCAACTGCATTTTGCATGAAATGTTTCTGGTTCTTAAATCAACATGTTCACAACTGGTGCATCCACCTTGTAGAAATATTATTGGTAGATTATATTCTAACAAGCCAACGCTTGTTGAGTATAAGACAAATTCAATACCAACAATAGGTTGATATAAGGAATGGAATCTAATGAATTAATTGGAGGAAAAAAAAAAAAAAAAAATCCCGAATCAAGCAAATTTACCTAAAGTCGAGAAGAGACTCGTGTTTCCTCTTGATTATAGCAAAATCTGCCTGAGTTAGGCACATTTACAACTCTTGTTTTATATTTTAAGAAAAAGAGACTTGCATTTTCAGGGCAATAAGTAATATGCCAATATTTATGAAACCACCAGAGTGAACTATAGTTTGAAGTTTCAAAAGTATACGGTGCGATATGTCACAAAGAGAACGTAGTAGAGCTTCAAAATTAAATGTTGAAGGTGAATTTTGCTCTGAGTATACCATTTTGGAATTAGCTTTATTTTGAGTATTTATGATCTCGTTCCGTTCAAAAGTATTACTCAACTCCTTCCAACGCCATAGTCATTCAGAATATGACTTTACGGGGTCATATTCTGAATAAGGATAGTTTTTTTTTAATATTTTCTAACTAGCTCATCATATGGCTAAACCCAAAAAGTCAGGGAATTTTGTCATTTTTTGTCATGGAAAACCTGGAATTGTCAGGGAATTTCATTTTGAAAATCTTGTAGACACCCTGTCTAGGGGAGACACTAATAACCATCCCTTGGCAGTCTTTATAGAGGGTTTAGCACACTTTCAATTTTAAAGTTAATAAATGCTTGCTCTAATTTTTTCTTTTCCTCTTAATTTTGCAGGGATTTTCCAAAATTTTGAAAGGAGAATATGATCACCTACCAGAAGTTGCTTTCTACATGGTTGGACCCATCGAGGAAGTCGTTCAGAAAGCTGAAACACTAGCAAAGAATGCCTAAGTTAACTAATTTTAGATCCACCTAGAATCATGAGCTCTTAATTGATTAACTTTTAAATTATTCTAAAATAATAATTTTTTATATGTTCGGTCTGCTTATTCGTAAGAAACTGAAACGAAAACATCTGCTCGAAAAAAAGTTGCAAATTTTGCTCCATGGTTTAATTAATTGTTCCAGTTTTGTCATTTACTCTGAGATAAAGAACACAATGTATTCCCCGAGATTGTATTCTTTTGATGTAACTCTAAGGAATTTGTTCCAATCTAGTTGCCTTTGGCACTAAATAAATGTTAATTTTTAAATATTGTTGTTTCATTTTCTCCACGTACTTGTTAAGTTAAACATGATCAGTAATTATGACTGCAACTTTTTGTATGATGGATCTCTGTTATCTATACACACTGTAGATTATGCTGCTAAATTCTGCAGCCAACAAGTAAACAAGATCATAAGTAGAATTGTTCATTAGAGCATTTTACTCTGTTGCCTAATGTAAATAATTTCAAAAATTAAAAAGCGGACCACATGGGGGTTTTTGCATTTTGACTGTAACTTGTCGGAATATCCACAATAAAGTCCATCTACTTGCTGAAAGGCTGTGTAACTTTGTCATTTTTTTGGTGTGAATTCTAGTTTAATTGTCACCCTTGGTGTACCTAATATGAGGGAATGTTGCCAAATCCCTGAAGGGTACATATTGTTAGTAACTAAGGGTTCTGTTTTCATATGACTTCCTCCTCCGTTTTAGTTTAATAAAACCCTGCACTTCAGTGGGGGCTTAGGCACTGTCTCTTGGTACATTTTGATAGGTTACCATGAAGTTCATCACTAGGCCAAAGCCAAAAAATTTGGCGATTCCTTTGGGTCAGAACAAAGATATTCTCAATTGAACCTGCGCGTTTAGGAGGAAGTGGAGAGGCAAAAGGAAGGATGGCAAGACAGAGGAGTAAGTTTTGAGAATAAAATTGATGAAATACTGGGGATGGGGCGGTGTACGCTAGGGGGAGTCCAAGAACATAGACTTTCGATTTTCAAAATTGTATAGGGGGGAAAAGGTAAGCCGAGGTATTAAACTAAAGTGTTCCAAAGCATTCTTTGAAGAAAACAATTTCTATAAGTGCCGGTTTTTGCAGTTTGTGTCAAAAAATCGCATATTTCAAGCTGTTTTTTCGATTTCATAGCACTCTTCAAGCATGATAGAAATTGGCTAGAGCCCTCATTTTTAGCGTCAATTTTTAGTTTTAAGGAACCATTTATGTAATTGAGTAGGGAAAATATTACATTTTTGGATGCAGGCGGTTCCCCCTATTTGCAAGCTCACGGTTAGGCTGAATCACTTGATTGGTCGAAATTACAGCGATTTTTGCCATTTTTTTGTCTAACTTAGCAAGCATGTAAAAAATCGGGCCCTCCATTTTCCAGGACTCTTTTTACAGTAGAATACAAGGATGTGCAGGGCTTCAAGTCCAGAAATAGTACTGATGTTTTAAGGGCGGTCCGGGAGTATTGAAAAAGTGCGGAAATTCCGCAAGAAGGTCCGGAATTTTTCTTCTTCTGTCCCTCTTGTTCCAATTTGAGCGGGAAACTCAAATTTTTGAAATATTATGAATTTCTTCAATTGGAAGTACTGAATTTCTTGGGAATGTATTGAAAAAGTACTGTAAAAGTACTGATTTTTGGCCAGACTTTTTTAATAGACACCCTGATGTAATAATTATTTTGCCAAAGAATGTTTTCATGCTTCCGTGGAGCCGTTACCAAGGTAGAAAAACACGATTTTTATCTAGAGTACCTGTGTAGGGAGAGTATGGACAGATCGGTTCATGGAGGGCTTAGGGCCCAAAAGTGCAGCCACCCTCCTGAGCAACTTCTAACACGCAAAATTTCACTGCCAGCCTACAGATGTCAATTCTAACCAAGATGGCCAAGAATGTACATTAATGAGCGTTCTTTCTCCAAAATAAGTAAATTTATGCAAAAAGTAAGCGAAATACATGCTTTCTAAACGACGGTTCGTAACAATTGTATTTGTGAATCGCTCTGGACATTCGAAATTCATAGGTTGGCTGCCCTTTTGGGCCCTAACTTTATTCGCGGAGGCACCGGTGAAGGCCTGATGGACTTTCGGAGTTTCAGATCTGTCCATACTCTCCCTATACAGGTACTCTACTTTAATCAACGTCTCAGCGCTTTTTGCCAATATTTTTGAGTGACTTGGCAACCAGGCAAAATTTTGGCTCTCAATTTTCAGAGACTCTTTTCATGGCAGAATAAGATCCCATAACACATATTTCGTTTTAGTCTTTAATTGTATATACCTCCTCAGAGGCAAGGAAAGAGATGACTCTTGATTCTTCATTCATCACTTTAATAACCTTAAATATTTTAAATTCTTTGTTGGCGTATTTGAGCATTTACAAAAATACTAATTGTTAAATTTCAATGAGCTAATTAATTAATTATTAAATACTGTAAATTTTTATTTAATTATTTTATTTAAATATTTAATTTGTTGAAGATTTAATTTGTTATTTTACCTGTTATGAATTAAATTGATCAATGATAAAGTATTCCTTGAATGAATAAACGTTTGATTATCATTAAAAGCTCAAATACGCACACAAAAGAATTAAAATATTTAAGGTTTTTAAAGTAATGAATGAAGAGTCAAGAGTCATCTCTTTCTTGCCTCTGAGGAGGTACAATTAAGGACCAGAACGAAATACGTGTCACGGGATCTTATTCTACCATGAAAAGAGTCTCTGAAAATTGAAGGCCAAAATTTTGTGTGGTTGCGAAGTCACTCAACAACATTGGCAAATATCGCTAAAATGTCGATAAAAATCGTGTTTTTCTACCTTGGTAACGGTTCCACGGAGGCATAACCCTCTAATGCTTGTGTACACATATATGTAATTTAACGTATTTTCTTTTTTTAAAAACTCTGTACGAGCGCAACAATGTTTCTGAAAGCATCTATAAAAGCCCAAGGTTGAATTCTATTGGATAAAAATGACGGAACCCACTCCAGTGTTGCTAAATTTGGTTAAAAAACGTGTTATTTTCGGCAACCTTGGGCTGCGTAGGTCGGCTCTGGCAACGCATTTTCGGCGCAGGATTTAGGTTGGTATGAGAGGCTGTATGACAATTAAAAAAATATGTGCATTTGCAGCACACGTCATACTTATTTTAGGTGACAAAAGGAAATATTAGATGCAAAATGGGTTTTCAATGAAATGATTTTAAACCGAATAACATGTATGTGATCTCATGCAACTTACTTTGATGGCGAAAATGACAAGTTACATTTATACAAGTTACATATATATAGTTACATGACCGATTCTGGTCAATGAAGATAAACATATGGCTTACATTCACCTGTAATTTGATTTATGCTTGCAAAAACAGCGTTCTCCTAATATCTAATCTCTACTAAGACTAATATTTTCTTTTTTTTCAATGAAATGTACTTCACATGTTTTCCATGTAACATCTCTTTTTTAGGGTTTTTACCAAAGTTACATAGAATCACATATATGTAACTTCTCTTTTTATTTTTTTTATCGAAGTTGCATGGACCTACATACACAGGGTGTTTCAGACCACCCTTACCAGGCCTTTTTCTCGGTTGTTTTAGGTCGTATGAAGTCGGAGACCGCGGGGTTGAACAGGGAATTGACCCCAAGGAATCCGAATTTCGTGGTCCCGAAACCCCCCCACCCCCCCTTGGGAGGTAAAGGGGGGGTCACGATGCTAAAGGTCACGGTTCCCGACCGAATTGCGGATTAATCGCATCAGAATTGATAAGCACGGAAAATTTCACGTGGAATTGACCCCTAAAAGTCCATAATCGGCCCATCCAAGGCCCAAAAATGACCCCCAAAAGAGGGGGCCAGTAGCCCCCTCCATAATTCTAGAGTACCTGTATAGCGATAGAGTATCTATATTAAGAGAGAGTATGGCCACTGGAGTTACCACCTCTGATTGGCTCAGCCATCTTAGGCTGAATGGAGCCCTTAGGACCCAAAAATGGCGGACGCCATAAAGTTAATGTAATGCAAAATGATTCAAAATGTAGTTGTCTTTGCTTATCGTAACGAGAACTTTACCCAAATGCACTATTGCGACTTTTTTACATATTTTTAAGGCTAATCGTGTGCAATTTTTGAGAAAAATGATCTTAGATGTTGTAAGGTTGGCAGCAAGTGCGGTTGGTGATAACCGTCAAAAGTTGGCAATGACCCCCCTCCCATCCTCAAAAACCATAACAAAGCACCGCCATTTTTGGGTCCTAAGCCTCTCCATGGGACCCAGTGGCCATACTCTCTCAATATAGGTACTCTATATAGCGAGAGTATGGACAGATGTGAAACTCCGAAAATCCATCAGGCCTTCACCGATGCCTCCGTGAATGAAGTTAGGGCCCAGAAATGCAGCCAACCTATGAATTTCGAATGTCCAGAGCGATTTTTAAATACAATTGTTACGAACCGCCGTTTATAGAGCATGTATTTGGCTTACTTTTAGCATAAATTTACTTATTTTTGCAAAAGAACGCTCATTTATGTACATTCTTGGCCATCTTGGTTAGAATTGAACTCTGTAGGCTGGCAGTGAAATTTTGTGTGTTAGAAGTTGCTCAGAAGGGTGGCTGCACTTTTGGGCCCTCCCTCCATCAAGCGATCTGTCCATACTCTCGCTATAAAGGTACTCTACATAATTCCTCTTTGGTTTCAAAATTGACGTAGATTCTCCAGAAAAAGATGGTTTCCCAGGTAATCGACCCCGAGAAATCCAAATTTCATGCTCCCGAAGCTCCTCTATCCCCCCTTGGAGGATAAACGGGGGGCCCAATTTTAAAAATCGGGGCTCCTTTCCGAATCGCAAATTGATTGCATCCAAATTGAGGAGCAGGACACATTTACATCTTAACCCAAGTAGCATTTTGCAACGAAAAAATTGCAATTTAAATGAAATAAAATTTCCAGATGATTTCAACTTTCTTGCAAGAAAATTGCAATTATTTTATAACATCTGACCCCCTCATTGTAAAAAAGTTGCAATTTTTTTTTGCAAAGAAATTTCAATATTGACGACCTTTAAATTTCAACCCCTAAATTTTCCGGGGAAATTATAATAATTCGAACCCATGCTTACCTAATGTCCTACGACGTTTAGCAGCATAAAATACCGGACGCCTTTGAGTGGGCTTGAACCCGACCCGCGAATGTCATAGCGGAGCACTCTTCCACTGAGCTACAGGGAGCTGATGATGAGCTGGGTTGAAATCACGCCTGTTAAGGCTGTTATCGCATGCATTGCGTCAGTGCGTGGCTCAACATTCATCATAGATTTGATTAACGCCGTTTTTCTCAGGCTTCTTTCTTTTGCCTATTATTTATTTTTTTCCGTGTTATTTATTTTTTTCATATTTTTTTTGTCTGATTTTTTTTTCGATATCACGTAATAGCACTTTTTATAGAATGACTTTTTTCTATAAATTACACCATTTTCAAGAAAATCGCTGATAAAAGTCGCCGTACCGACCTACGTCATCAAAAAAATTCCAAGATGTCCGAAATGCAAACACC